TTCAGTTCTGGTGACTTTTAGTAATTTAGTAATTCTTGTAATGTGCTATATTTACAATAATTCTTGCATTTGATATAGTGGCTATGATGATGATGTTTGTTTCACATGTAATTACTGTCAAGGGCAGTGACATTGTGCAGGCAAACAATTGGTACTAAAACTACTATGATTCTTTGTTGTGATTATGTCCTGTTGATATTCTGGAGTGAATTTTATAGCCTTGAAACATAAAAGCAACTGTGCATACACTGTTTTGCACAGATTAATGGTATATTGTACTTTATAACTAGTTTCCTGGAATATAAAAACAAACAAGTGCTGATGCTAATTGTACCTATTTTGGTCATTGCGTTCTGATTTGGAAGCATAATCTTAGATAGGATAACTGGTTTTGGAAGACATCCAGTATTAATTTACCAGCTAAAATGTTCACAGGTGGGTTATGGAAATGTGGAATTCACTGGCCCAAATGTCCATAGGTGCAGAATCAATTGGGATAGATGTGTTGGATTAACAGTAGTTAAAGACATGTGGGGATAAAAGTGGAAATACAATCAATGATCTGTAGTGATCGAATAAAATGTGCTGGGTGGGTGTTGGAGGTGCTGTAATTTAGATGAGAATTTAACTTAAGGTCCCACATTTTTGTTCAGTTGCTTGTTAAAAGATCCTATGGCACTTATTCAGAAAGTGAAGGGAGCTTCTCCTTGGTCCTGCCTGACATTCCACCAGATAAAGTCGGACATTTATTTCATGGCTATTTACGGGACATTGCTGAGTGCAAATAAGATGCCACATTTTCAAAATTGCTCCGCTACACTTTATAGTAAATCTTCCAAAGTGCTTCAAGGTATCCTCCCAAGGTCAAATGTGCTTTGTCAAATGTAAGGATTATTATCATCACAATAGTGGGAAATTGTACCTCCACCCTATATACACACCTTGATGTAGCTGCTGGTAGCCAGAATAAATGACCAACATTGCATCTAATTTTATTTTCCAATTGGGTTATTTGTGCTCCGAGAGATATCAGAATAATTTTGTTTGTTTCACAATGTTGGCTTTAACTGGTCTTAGGCCAGGAACTGGCAAAATTTCTTTCCAACGTTGGCAATGATCGTTGGGTCACCATTTGATGCAAGGAGGGCTTCTGTGGCTGTGGAACAACTTGTATTTATAATCCAGAAGTAGGAATGCTTCACAAGGATGTAGTTTGAGACTGAGCAAAGGGGAAGACGGAGGTAGCCATTGGCTTGTTCAACGAGGTGGGATTTGATGCAGGACAGAAGGAGAGTGAGACTGAGTGGTGGAAATAGGGAAATAATTTCAGGAAATAGTGTTGGAACTAAAGGTTCAATTACTAATGGTGGCATGGGTGGAGGAAATGCAACAAGCCCAAATTAGTTGAGCAGAGAGGGTGGGCAGAGGAATATGATAGGAGAATATCGGAGAGATAGAGGTGTCAAGAGAGTGAATGGATTTATAGTTTAGGGAAGGACCTTGAAATGGATCTGCTGAGAAATGAGCCAGTGGAAACTAGTGATGTGTTTTTGGAGATTGGTCTAGGTAAGGATGCAGGCCGTGGAGTTTTAGATGAGTTTCAACTTGTGAATGGTGGAGCTAGGAAGACCAGTGAAGAGTGCAGTGGAAAAATCTTAAGTGGAATGTGACGAAGGCATGAATAAATGTTTCCGTGGCATTGGGTGTGTGCACCATAAACAGGAAACCAATCAGTTAAAATCGGAAGTATCCATGGTACACCATGCTGAAGCACATTTTAGCTGCAGAAACAAGGCATCATTATAGAGGGTGTCAAGATTGCTAATCTGTGTGATGGGAGTGGGTGACATTTAACACAATTATTCTATGGGGGGGTAGGGGGAAATCTTTAAATACTATTGTCATTAGTTGGTCATTTGACAGGTGGATGGCAAGTACCAGGAACTCCTTGTGGGCTTTCTGGTGAGCAGCATTACCTAATTTTACTACCAAAACCATCAGTGGTTTCTGCATGTGGGGGCTTTCTGCACTGTTCCTTGTGCCCTCCGTTCCACCATCAGCGGTCACAGTTTCTGCCATATGCCCCAAAACTCTGGAACACTCCCTCAATCCCTCCGCCTTGCCCCCTCTTCCTCATTTTCAGATCGCATCTGAGGATCCTTCTCTTTGACCATGCTCACAGTCCCCTCCCTCTGGCTCAGCATTGTGCTCCACCATTGTCAAGATACTATGCTCCATGAGGGGCACTATATAAATGCAAGTTGTGGCTCCGTAATGTATATGTCTTCTAGCAGCTAAATTAATAGTAATGGGAAGAGAGCAGTCTCTCCATTTGTACGCCACCTACTATCTATTTGCCACCACAGGTGGAAGCTAAATGTGCTATTATGTTTCTAAAGGATTCTGTTATTTAGCAAATGAGTTTAAACTGTGCCAGATTGGCGTGAATGAAACTGGTGTCAAGATTACTAGTCTGCATGTTAGTTAAAATATGGTGTGAAATGATGGGCCTCCAGGACATCCCCTGTTAATCAGTATTTAATGTGTTCTTTTGTCCTGTTCAGAGACAGACATAGTCAAGTCCCATGGTTAATGAATATTTGCATTTATTTCCTGTTGAGCTTTTGTTGAGTTTACTCCTACCCTGCGGATGGCCCTTGGCTTGTTAAATCTTTGGTCTGTTGTGCATATAAAGCCATATCACTGGTTGAAGAGGTAGCATTCTTGGCATTCAATTATTGCTGCTTCCTGTAGGGGTAGGGCTGATAAAAGCTAATCATAAGAGGGTGGTGGGAAGGGGAAAAGAACAATGTGTTCGTAAATTGCTATTCACAAACAAAATATGAGCGATTTATGCTGCTTTCAGATTTGTGGCATTCTGTAACGTAGTGGTTAGGGTGTTCACCTCCCAAGCGAGAGGACCTGGGTTCAGTTGCTGGCAGGGAGAAACCTTAGGCAAGTTTCCTTCCTCCTCACGCCTCTGTATACCTCGCATTAAGTAGGAACCTGATTATTATTCATAGACTACTTCAGAATCTGTTCAAATCAAACTGTTTTCCAAATAACCCAAACTTTTGTCTGGATCTGCTTAGTTTGCTTTGAGTAATGTTATTCCTTCAGCCACTCTGCCCCCACCCTCTGGAACTCCATCCCACTGTCCCTCCGCCTACCCCAGCTCGGTTCCGAAACACTGGTTGTCCAGAGCCTTGGGACGTCTTCCCGACGTGAAAGGCGCTACACAAATGTAATTTTGTTCTTGTTGTTCCACACACCAGCAACAATACGGAAACTCCTTGAATTCAACCATGTCCATTTTAACTTGCATCTTTTTTTATTCTCAATATCCGTAACGTTACATTCACCTATATCTCAGTTGTTCAACATTTCTAAAGGACACCTCCCCTATCAGATGTATAGTACTGTCATCTATGGATGTACATGTTTTCCCAACCACACTGCAAATTGAAAGGTCCCTAGTTATTTCTTAGTTATTTCTTAGTCCTTCTTTCATTTTCCATTCTGATAAAATGTCAGACGATAATGTGCCAGATCAAAGTTTTTCGCCAACAAAAATGTAAACAGATGTTATGTTGTAGAGTACTCTACTGCCTGTGAAGTATCCTGCGACTATTGATGCTGGGGTTTTTCCCTATTTACACTGTGTGATTAGTTGATCGGAGCAGGAGTGATTCTGGATTATACTTAATTGGGGGAACCTTTGTGCTTTTGAGATGGCATGTGTTGAAGTTTGACAAAGACAGGATTGGGCTCAGCTGTACAGCGTGCCGAGAATGAATCTGTTGAAACTCGAATCTAAAGACTGGCTTGTATGTGAGACTCCAGAGGTACCTGTGACCTGCACTCCAGCAAAGTCATTGTTCAGGGGACGAGGAGGTGGAAGGCAACCTTTTTAGAAAACTTGTAGAATACGTCCAGTGTTTCTGTTTCATAAGTCCAGAAAGATGTTGTATTACGCAATCAAACTATTTAATCCTTTTACATATATATTAATTTTTTTGTAAGACAATTTGGTCTTTTCAAAAGCTGCATTATTGGTACCAAATGGCTATTCCGATCAGACATCAGGTTCGCTTTTCTGTAGTTTACATAACAGGTGGTGTTTTTGCTCATTATCTGGGCAATCTATTTGAGGTTCCATTATGCAGAGCAACCCTATTTTAAGCAGCTCAGTAGACCTTGGGTTTGCTTTTAACATGGGTGTCCTGTGGACTTTTTTATCGGAAGGGTGGTAGTCTTATTGTCTCAATATTGGTTGAGTTTTGGGCCATCAGGCTGCAGCCAGCTTTTTCCTTGGCACTTTGAACAGGAAGTGATTTCAGTGGTGACCTGCTGACCCAGACATTGGCCATTTTCATCGCACTTTGTTTTAATGCATTAGTCTGGGATATTGAGCACAGGTCACCAAGCTGTGATGTAGGGCTCTGCATTTTGCAGAACAAAGTTGACATGAAAGAATTCCCATCTCAAAAATGAACTCCAGGAACTAACAGTTTTGCTGGTGCATATTTACATAACTATTTATATAATACATGCATTTGCATCTCTTCTGCCTGTTTGGGGTGGATGAAAAGAGAAGGGAATTTATCCTGGTGTCCTGACCAACAATCCCTCAAATAAAATCGGTTGTTTGTTTCATGTCTGTTTGTGGGATATTGCCATGTGCAATGTCTTCTCCTACAAATGCAATCATTCCACTTCATGGCAAATCCTGTGAAGCGAATTGAGATGCCCTCCCAATGTAAAATGCCAAAGATTATCTTTTTTCAATTCCCCTGAATTTTTTTCAATCATAGTTTAATGGCCAAAATAATATTGTAAATGGGCTAACCCATAACATGCTTATCGAGAATGATGATCATTGAAAACTAAGTAAGGCATATTAGACTTTAGTCTTTCAGTTAGATTGTGTTTCCATCCATCCTTAAACTATTGCTTAATGATACAGTTTGTTAAGGAGTTTCACTGGGTTTTTATTTCAGATCCTGGAGTCAAACCAGTCAATAAAACCAGGATACTGAATAACAAAGATGACAACTACAGGTATGTTGTTAAGTAGTCTCAAAGTTTTCAGTACTTCTAAAGATGTTAGTGTTACATGTTTTAACACTTGGGTAAAATCAACAGGAGATGTGCATCCACTATGAGCAATGATTAGACCAGCTAGGTCTTGAGAGATGACTGAAGAGTCAAAGAGAGAGAAATGCAGAGTGAGTGAAGAGCTGGTACAGTGTGTGGTACACCAGTGCAGCATAATAATAATAATCCTTGCATTTGATATAGCGCTTTTCACGTCGGGAGGACGTCCCAAAGCGCTTCACAGAATATACTGTAAAGTGAATTGACTGTATATTTGTGGGTGAACGCGGCAGCCAATTGCGCACAGCAATGTCCCACAAACAGTCGTAGATTGAAAATGACCAATTTATTATTGTTTTTGGTTTTTGGAGGGATTATTATTAGGCGTGTGGAGTAAGGAAACTTGCCCAAGGTTTCGCTCTGCCTGGAATTGAACTCAGGTCTCTCGCTTGCAAAGCGAGTGCTCTAACCACTGAGCTACAGGACTCCAGCTACAGGATCTCCTGATGGAACATTTTTAACTTGGCCAATTTGTATCTTCTGTGATGTCCAATGATCTACAATGGGGCTTGTATTGAAGATTATTTTTTATTAATCTGTTTCATTCCAAGTAAAAGAAATCGGGACGAATCAACAGCTTAAATGTTTTGACGTGAAGTAAGGAAGAGTTTGGAGACCTGGAGAAAATAATGGATCTTTATCTAATTTTATTTTTAATCTCTCAACAGCTGATTTGATGGAGTTAGACATGGCTATGGAGCCTGATAGCAAAGCTCAGGTCAGTCACTGGCAACAACAGTCCTACCTGGACTCTGGAATTCACTCTGGTGCTACAACTACAGCCCCCTCTTTGAGTGGGAAAGGGAACCCAGAAGAGGAAGAGGTGGACACCAATCAGGTGCTTTACGAATGGGAGCAAAGCTACTCACAGTCTTTCACACCAGAGCAAGTAACTGGTGAGTCTATTTAAATGTTTTGATTGTATACTAACCGTGCTGTTACCAATAGTTATAGGCCTAGTGAAGTCAAATTTGTCAGTCTCTGTATGTGCATTGTTCCTGCATTTTATACGTTCCACCTACATTTCTCGTGCATCACCAGAACATAAAACTATAAAAAATGAATAAATTGTTGTATCTATCTATATTGACTTGTCTCTTTCCCCTATTTTGCCCCCTTTATCAGACATTGATGGACAATATGCTATGACTAGAGCACAGCGTGTTCGAGCTGCCATGTTTCCTGAAACACTGGATGAAGGGTTGCAGATCCCGTCAACACAGTTTGATGCAGCTCACCCAACCAATGTTCAGCGCTTGGCTGAACCTTCACAGATGCTGAAACACGCTGTTGTTAATCTAATCAACTATCAGGATGACGCTGAGTTAGCTACTCGTGCTATCCCAGAACTGACCAAACTGCTTAATGATGAGGACCAGGTAAATGAATGATTCGATTGTTTTATGTTCATGGTGCCATAGATTAGGTATACTGGAGAATATTAGATGTAATGCATCAATTTGCCTACTGCATAGTACAAATGTGAATAAAAACCGCTCGTGGCTGTGGTCAGGAGAGATTGTTGTAAGATGTCTCAAGTTCATTAGGATCCAGTGGGCTGAAACAATGCTCTGCAAGTGTGCACCACTGTTCTGGGTACTTGACCTTTTAGTACTGAATTGGGCCAAGCTACATATAATCAAAGAATGTGTGATTATATGTGGTTAAAGCAGCTACAGCATTTAATAGTGAACTAGAAGCTGAGGACTACTCCAGGTCTAGCACTTTTAATACTGATTTGTTTCTCTGTAGGTTGTTGTAAATAAGGCTGCTGTGATGGTTCATCAGCTGTCCAAAAAGGAAGCCTCTCGCCATGCCATTATGCGTTCCCCACAAATGGTATCTGCTATTGTCCGAACTATGCAGAATACCAATGATGTAGAGACTGCACGTTGCACTGCTGGCACTCTACATAATCTGTCCCATCATCGTGAAGGGTTGCTGGCTATTTTTAAATCCGGAGGTATCCCTGCCCTGGTGAAAATGCTTGGGTAACGTATTCAATAATTTTTTTGTGTATTCTTGTTCTGTAACTCCAGTTATAATTTTTTTGCTGTTTGCTCCAAGCGTTTGAAACCTATTTTTCAGGTTTCAATTTGTCTACATACTCTGACTACTGGGGTACGAAGGCTATAAATTGAAGCACCGCAATGTGCTTGAATTCATAATCTAGACTGTCGCAACACTGCTCTGTTGGATGCTATCTTTAGGTTAGATGTTAAGGCAAGGTCCCATCTACTTGTTTCCTATGGACAAGGATCCCAAGACACTTTTGAAATGGGGAAAGGGAGATTTTCACAGTGGCCTGACCAATGATCTCACAGATAATTGATCATTGTTCTCTGTGTCACTTTACTGGCTGCTGTGTTTGTCTACAAAATGTCACACGAGCATGTGATCGTAATTACCTATGAAGTGCTTTGAGAGATTTTGAAATAAGATAATGTAAAATGCTATGGCTGTTGATCAGTATCATGGCATGTTATACCCAGAGGGATGATACTGGTTTTCCAAAAAGGGATCTTCTGCTCTGTCACTACTGGAGTTGCTGCTGCAAGGGAGAGGTATCAAGAGAGCATTGGATTTTTGATGGATTTGAATTGAGACTGAATTTAAGAATTTTTCTTGATTCTACACAATCTTAAAATTTAAAGACCAGGTGAGAATTTTAGGCCTCAGTTCTTGGGGTAATTTTCATTGCACAAGATATTTGCACCATGTTATTTCATACTTCTGCAATACCAACACTTTACACTCTTCCTATTACAGGATTTTGCTGTCCAGACCCTAGCTGCAACCATGCTTTCTCATAATACATTTCAGCTGCAGATTGCTTTCTGTGGGAAGAAATATTTCCTAATTGCTGTCTGTCCCAATTTTCAAAAATAACCTGAACCCATGTCTTCTTGTGCTGTTGCCTTGGTGTGGCTGAAAGTATTGTGCACAATATATTGTGGACTATCACTGGAAATTACTGGAAGCATGGGAATGTGATATGGGAATTCTTGAAAAGGAAAAAGAAAATATGAATCTACAGATTTCGCTGCCCTTTTCCCCAGTTTTTAATATGTCATCTTTAGGTGGCTCTAAAGTCAGTTTTTCTTTAAAGTGGACCATCACTTAACAGAATTTAAGATTTGTTCTTTTTACTTTTTCCCCTTCTTAAAGCACTGAACTCATACTGGGTTCCACCAGGCATTTTGTGACATATGGTTTAAGTGGTTCTTAATCTGTTAAATCTAGACAATTCTGCAAGCTCTTCAAACATATTCACTTTTGTTAGTTGTGTATTGGGAACCATATATGCATGTGGTTTCCTATCCCTTCCTGCACTTTTGGCCCTGAGGCAATTTATGCCCCGACTGAGATCAGCAAAAAGCACTGGAAATAAAATATGAAACATACTGGGTGCATATCGTTCAGTTTCAATACAGGTAGTACTGGAATTTTGTTTTGCTGTTTGCTTCCCCACCTTCGAAAGTGATGATTCTTACTATGTTGCATGTGCCTTTTCCCACTGGGGCAGGCTGCTAGACTTGTGGTATTTAACCAATTAATTGAGTTATTTATTCACATTGTTTTGCAGGTCTCCAGTGGACTCTGTTCTGTTCTATGCTATAACGACCCTTCACAACCTCCTGTTACACCAGGAAGGAGCTAAGATGGCCGTACGCCTGGCTGGTGGCTTGCAGAAAATGGTTGCTTTGCTAAATAAAACCAATGTCAAATTCCTGGCCATCACAACAGATTGCCTGCAAATATTGGCGTATGGCAACCAAGAGAGCAAGGTGAGTGACATTGACCGACAGAAAGAACAACAACTTTTATTTATATAACAGCCTGCACCTGGGTCACATCACTAGGCATCCACTCTTTTGTCAGGGTGAAAAAAAAGTTCTCTTTTCGCTGTTCTTATGGTGGTCTTATAACTATGTCCCCAAGTCACTTAATTCCCCTATTAATGGAAATAAGTTCTTCCTATTTACCCTGTCAAAACCTTCATAATTTTATATACTTTTATCAGTTTTCTCCCTGCCCCCCCCAACCTTTTCTGCTCCCAATGAAACCAGACCCAGCTTCCCCAGTCTCTCCTCATAACTGTAGCTCTTCATCCCAAAATCATTCTCATAAACCTCTTCTGTAGCCCCTCTAAGATCTTAACATGTTTCCTTAAGTCAGGTGCCTAAAACTAGATGCACTATAGTTGTGGCCGAACTTAGCATTATTGCTTTACATTTGTACCACTTTTACTTTTGGACTTTACCCCCTTGTGTATAAAACCCAGTATGCTATTAGCTTTCTTTACAGCCTTTGCCACATGCGATTCCAGTTTCAATGACTTCCAAATCCATTTTCTCATCAGTTCCTTACCATTCAATATATATTCCCTATTTTTTTTACCGAAATGAATCTTAATTTTATGCTTTTAAAAGTAATATTAAAATATATTAAAAGTAATGGCGCAAACTTAAATTTCTTGTTTTGCAGCTGATCATTCTGGCAAGTGGAGGGCCCCAGGCTCTGGTTAACATTATGAGGACCTATACTTATGAGAAACTACTATGGACAACCAGCCGTGTGCTCAAAGTGCTGTCTGTGTGCTCCAGTAACAAACCTGCAATAGTGGAAGCTGGTGAGTACTCAGTGTTTTGGGCGATTATCTCAATTCTGTTTAGGCAGACCAACTAACCAGTCTACTTTTATATTCCTTTTCAGGTGGTATGCAGGCCCTTGGACTGCACCTCACTGACCCAAGTCAACGACTTGTTCAGAATTGTCTTTGGACTCTGAGAAATCTTTCAGATGCTGCTACTAAGCAGGTAAGGTTTTAACTTATTAAACCTTGAGAAGGAAAAAAAATACAATTTACATTTATATAGCGCCTTTCATGTCAGGAAGACATCTCAAAACACTGTAGCACTGGTTGGGCACCTAAACTGGGAGGTGGGGGAGGAGATGATTGAAAGCGTGTTTTTTAAGGAGGGAATAGAATTCATTGTGTTAACTCCAAATAAAAACCTATGTAATTGGTAAATGTTTAAACTGAATTGTTAAAAATGATTGTAGAATCATTAACTGGCACAATACATTTTACATAAGTGATTAAATATCCTGTTCTGTCTTTAATTTCAGTCTTCAATCATATGGGGCATTAAACAATAAATACTGAGCAAGTTATAAATTGACGCTCTCTGACTATCTATTCATTATAAATTAACGCTCTCTTATTATCCGTCTCACTCTATCCTCTGCTTTCTCACCCTCTCTCCCTCTGTTTGTAATCCTGCATTTTAGACTTTTTTAAAAAACAAACTACTGCTGTATTACTTTAGTAAATCACAGACCTAGTAACATGCACATAGCTGAATATTTTTTTTCCAGTATAACATCCCTGAATTATTGGAGCCTGATTGTATATATCCAGTGTTCTACTGTATATGCTTTTGATGTTTATCTGATATCAATTATTGAAAAATGCTGAAGTCATGTTTCATTAAGTACGATGAATATATTGAGGCATGTTTAACTTCTTTCATTGCATTTTAGGAGGGAATGGAAGGTCTTCTTGGAACTCTCGTCCAGCTTTTGGGCTCAGATGATATTAACGTTGTTACATGTGCAGCTGGTATACTTTCTAACCTGACGTGTAACAACTACAAGAACAAGATGATGGTCTGTCAGGTTGGTGGTATCGAGGCTTTGGTTCGCACTGTCCTCAGAGCTGGTGACAGAGAAGATATCACTGAACCTGCCATTTGTGCCCTTCGTCATTTGACCAGCAGACATCAAGATGCAGAGATGGCTCAAAACGCTGTGCGTCTTCACTATGGGCTGCCTGTTGTGGTTAAACTGCTTCATCCTCCATCTCACTGGCCTTTGATCAAGGTAAAGAAAGTGTCCTTCATGTACTCCTATACTAATGTCTCATCTGAAGGATGGCACCTCCAACAATGCATATTTTTCCCCCACCCCCTCCCTCCCCAGCATTACATTAGATTGTCAGCCTGGGCAGTCTAAACCCACACGATTCTGACCCAGAAGGCTACCAACCAGGCTGACATATAAAATGACAATTTTTAGGCTGAAAATTGCACATTATGCCCATTAAAGTTTACTTACTGCAAGATTTTGAAAAACTACTTTAGTTGCTCTTTTATCATTGCATCATTATTAGTAGTTAAAAATAAGGTATCTCTCATGCATTAATAAATGTATTACTTTTTTTAGGCTACTGTTGGTCTCATTCGTAATCTGGCCTTGTGTCCAGCTAACCATGCCCCACTTCGTGAGCAAGGTGCCATTCCAAGACTGGTTCAGCTGTTGGTTAGAGCCCACCAAGATACCCAACGCCGCACTTCAATGGGAGGCACACAGCAGCAATTTGTGGTAAGCTCAGTCTGCAATATAATAACTTGCATTTATAAAGTACCTTTCATGTAAACGCACTTTGCAAAATATAATTGATGAAACATGAAAGTGCAATCTAGGCAAATGCCTGAACAGCTAATATGCAAAAGTTTATATACAGGAAAATTTTGTGTTTGCAATGTAGAATAGAAATTTGTACTGTATACAGATTCAAATGTGTCTTGTTTTGTAGGAGGGCGTTCGAATGGAAGAGATAGTGGAAGGCTGCACTGGTGCTCTTCATATCCTTGCGCGTGATGTCCACAACCGGATTGTTATCAGAGGACTTAATACCATTCCACTGTTTGTCCAGGTGGGTTTTATTTTTAAAAATGCATTTTTAAAATTCTAATGTAATTAACTTCTGATGTGGTACTGTTACAATTGTGCCAGGTGCCCATTTTCCTTTCCCAAAGTGCTCATTCTTCTGAACTGAGTTCAATGTTCTGACAGAGGCAAGACTGCTACCAATTGAGCCAGACTCAAAAATACTTTTGCTTTTTGGAATGCTGGTGTCTTTTATGCAGCAAGAAAAGAGCTTCCTTCTTGTACCAGAACTAAACTGTCATTTTGAATTCTTTAAAATAAATTGTCAGTAATGGCCAACGTATTCGAAAATCAACAATGTTAATTTTATGGATGGTTTAATAATACAACAATTTGCACTTATATAGCAAGGGTAGAATCTCAGAGCATTTAAATCAAGGTCATAGTAATAATGCTTGTTTTGACCTCAGCACTATTGATTCCCATGAGCATTGTTTGTATGTCACATTGAATAATAGTTTTTAGATGAAATAGTTTTGATATTTGCTAATAATTTCTTACCCTTTTCTCTTGGCAGTTATTGTATTCTCCCATTGAGAACATCCAAAGGGTGGCTGCTGGTGTGCTGTGTGAGTTAGCTCAGGATAAGGAGGCAGCCGAGGCTATTGAGGCGGAAGGCGCCACAGCTCCTTTGACTGAACTGCTGCACTCCAGAAATGAAGGTGTTGGTAAGTAACATACACAGAAACTGTTTAGGTTGGGTAGATGCTGGATTATGCAATTTCTCTTTGGCTGTGATGTACTCCTTTCTACAAAGGCCTTTTAGGAGCGAATAACTGGGATATGTTGAAAACCACCTTGAATTTTATCATTTGCAGATTGCTGTTGTGCCGTTCTGTGCTTAGAAAAATGCCATTAAGTCCCGCAACCCAATAATGAATCGTGCCCATTGAAGTCTTGCATTGATGATGACTTCCTAAATTTGGTCCTGGGAAATATTCATAGTGCTGGGAAATTTATGATTTATACTGCAAGTAATCATTAATATACTGAATTAGCCGCAGTACCGAATTAAAGCCTGATTTGTAACATTGTTTTAGAGTTGGTTATATAATTCAAGATTTATGTCTATTTCCATTTGTTATTTCTGCTGGTTTCCTACTGGTCAAATTGCTTATTCAACCTGATTTCATATTGCGTTGTATGTCCCAAATGTGTGGTTTTGAATTCTTTAATGGTGACCTTTTTAATGTAATGGATAGAATAGAGGTTTTTAAAAATAAAATCTTCAATTTGTGTGTGTTTAGCTACCTATGCTGCAGCAGTACTCTTCCGTATGTCTGAAGATAAGCCACAAGATTATAAGAAACGTCTATCTGTTGAACTAACAAGTTCGTTGTTCAGAACTGAGCCTATGGCGTGGAATGAGGTAAGCTTACAAATGGGCACCGCGCAAATCAGATGACTAGATAGTACTCATCTGCTTATCTTGGGATTGCGGGTGGGGGTGGTTCTGATGACAAAGTGGATGAAGATATCTTTGGTGTAGCTTTACACCGCACAAACCAGAAGTTTCCAGGCTTGATTCACAGTCTGCTGAGTAAGCTGTTTAAATTTGGAGAAATAGTATCAGTATTACAATTAACTTTAGCCTTCGAGTACCATATTAAATTTGCTGGCAAGGCTCACTCAGGAAAGTGGTACTTTCACAGCTACAGTTTGATGCTTTCAAAAGAGGAGGGAGGAAATTGGCAAAACAAAAAAGGAAATCTGTTAATAATAATAATTGCATTTGATGTAGCGCCTTGTCATGTCTTCGAGGCGTCTCAAAGTGCTTCACAGAATATACTGTAAAGTGTAGTGACTATGTTTTGTGGGCGAAATGCGGCAGCCAATTGAATACGTTTTAACTAGAAACAAATGTTAAGAAACTACAGTAGTTCAATCAGCATAGCACCCAAAAGATAAAATAAGTTGCAGTTTTAGAGATCACTCTGCATCCGATCTGAAACTGAGCTGGGGGGAAATTTGTATATAAGATAGAGGTCAATTCCACCAGCCCACCCGTTTCATTTCTTAATGGTTAAAATATTAAACAGATTTTGAGCATTTTTAGTTTTTCTTATTAAAATAAATCTCAAGAATTTCTTTGCATCTTTGCATCTAAACCTTTTTCCATAAAATGGGCTTTTGCTAGACTGAATTCCTGAGAAAGGGATATTTCAAATAGCAGTTTAAATAGGTTATACAAATATTTTTTTCTTCAACAGACAGGAGATATTGGAATTGACATGGGAGCTCAAGGAGAACCACTTGGCTACCGTCAGGATGGTATGTTTATTTTAATTTAGCAGCCAGCTTTGTATTATGGTTTGCCAAGTTGTTTGGTTCCAGAGAATGGTTAGAACTAATAGTTGTGAGAACAATGCACTTAAGCTATGATTTGTAGGATCCGAGTTGTGTAGTATTATCGATGTGGGTTCATGTACAAGACCCTGTCGTTGGCTTCCAAATTCCAAAATGCGGGCTCTGGTTATGCAGCAATATGACTGGTTTCTGGGTCATCAGGTTGCCACCGATGTCATTTCCTCCATAGAAACACATTTAACTTGTATAGACAGCAGCTTCTTACCATTAAAGCTGGGTACGAGAAAGGAGAGAAGGGTTTACTTCCCTTCTTAGATTGGCAGGATATAATACACAATCTTCAGTGTCAAAAAACCCTAATAAAGTCTTTGTTTAATGCGGTGACCAGAAGAATAGTACAAAACTGGCACTGACATTAAAACGTGTTGCTGCTTCATTTGCCTTACAGGATGTTCTGATTTCCCTCGTCATTCGTGCAAAGATTCCAACATGGAAATTGCATTGATGGGGTGACACAATTGTGTATCATGTGATTACATTAGGTATTTTAGTCTGATGTTAGCCCAGGTCTGTGCGGTTTGTCAATTGCCCACGAACATACTCAACATGCTTAGCGGCCACCTCCTGTTCTATTTCTCTCCTGTTATTGGTGGCTAAACCAACTGTAAAGTGTATCATGAGCTCCTTGTTTGGTTTACAACTGTGATGTTGCTGGCAGGACCTCTATTAAGGAACATTGTTAATTATAATAATGATCCTTGCATTTGATATAGCGCTTTTCACGTCTTCTCGAAGTCTCAAAGCGCTTCACAGAATATACTGTAAAGTGAATTGACTGTATGTTTGTGGGCGAAAACTTATGTTAAAGACTAATCTTCAACAATTTTTGATTCGATAAATAGATACTCACATACATGCACGCACGCACACACACACACACACACCACACACACACACACACACACATACATACAAGAATAACTAGAATAACTACTGGAGTTGTAAGTTGAGTTCCAAGGTGAACCCGCTTACTTCCGCCACTTCCTATCTTCAACCCATGGAGGATAACTAATATAAATTTTTATGTGCTCTTACTGAGATTGTTTCTTCAGATTAGTTTTATTTTTATTCTTAATTACATATTCATACTTATAGGCTTTTAGTTTCCTCCTCTGTGAGGTCACGTTTGTGAGGTAAATTCTGATTCTCAGACTTGAATTCAACTAATGTGGATGTAGCAATGTACTGACTTTATAATTCAGATCAGTATTAGTTTTCAAGTTTGTAAAAGTGATGTCTACCACAATAATTCATCTTTCGTTTCTGTACTGTATTATCATAGCTCATGTGGTTTATTGAATCTGTTGACTACAATGTGCTTTGTATATGTGCAGCCATTGTTATAAAAAGGCCATTCTGTTCAGAACAATGGAGTATTTGTCAAGTAATTTAGCCTTGGCCTGTAATACTTCTCCACTTTGCCAGATTTACTGCAAACTGAGGATATGAAATATTTTCCCACTTTGATATTTGCGAACTTTATAGATTTTTCTTGTTCGTGTTATCCTTTTATTTCCCTCTCCTCCTCACTTCCTTTGTTACCTGCCCTTTTTTTTGTGAATCTAGATCCGAGCTTTCGTTCTTACCATTCAGGCGGATATGGCCAGGACCCCATGGGCCTTGACCCGATGATGGAGCATGATATGGGTGGACACCATCCTGGTGCTGAGTATCCTGTTGATGGGCTGCCAGATCTTGGACATGCCCAGGATTTAATGGATGGGCTGCCCCCAGGTGACAGTAATCAGCTGGCCTGGTTCGATACAGATCTGTAAATATAACCTGCATAATAGGTAAGATTATAATTAAAAGTTGGGATCATTTGTTAACTTTATTACATAACTGGTGTGCAGTTTACCTAACTGGTATGCAAATTGTGCTTTAAACTATGTTAACCAAGCCATCTAATTCAATGAAATGCATATTATAATTTGCTATTACATTTCCACTGTTATTTAATCTTGCTTTTTCTTTTTTTGCAGTTGTACTGTCTGAATGAACTTGCATTGTGATTGGCCTGTAGAATTGCTGAGAGGGCTCGAGGGGTGGGCTAGTATCTCAGAAAGTGCCTGACACACTAACAAAAAGCTGAGTTTCCTATGGGAACAGTCAAAGTAAACTTTTTGTTCTGGTCCTTTTGGTCGGAGTATCAAAGAGAATGGATTTGGAAATGGCTGCTTATTTTTCAAGAATGCTCAAGATCGGATCAAGAGATGGAACTTATTAAAAACCCTAGCCTTGCCTGTTAACTTTTTTATTATTTTTTTAATCTCCGTAATGGTACTGATGTAGCTTGCTTTGAAGTAGATTAGACCAGTAATACATATTCCTTTTAACATAGTCTTGTAGTGTTACGTTATAGTGGTAATAATACAACAGTTTCTGATTTTTAAAAACAAGTAATTGTGTAGAACACTAATTCAAATAGATTAATTGTATTCTGAAGTGTAACATTGTGTAGCTTTTGTATAAAAATGTAAAATTAGACAAGTCCAATTGCAGTTACTTTTATTACGCTGAAAAATGTAAGCAGGTAGAATGAAATGTTTGATCAATATTGCTTCATTTGGGGATTTTTGGGGGGATTGTAAGGTCATTTCTACCATGGTTACCATTTCTACCATGGTTGTAATAGTTTGAGAGGACACTTGTCCCATCCCCTCCCTAAAAAGGAACTATTGTATCCTGCTGCAATGCAGATGCTTCATGAAATATGCGGTTGTAGAATGGCCAAACCGAATTAAACTGGACTTATTTCATTTTGTGGTTGAGTGATTTAATTACCAGGGTACCATTATTAAGTTGATACGTAGGTTTAAGGAATCGTTTGTCTCGTATTACATAATTTTCAAGTGTGTAAGTTGGTTGAATAAAAGTGGTTGGCAGTTCCTATAATATTTCTATAGGATGTTTCATTTGTGCAGTGGATCAATTATGGTCAACCCATTTTTCTAGAAGTCTATTGTAAAGGGGGCAAGGTCTTCAAATTTTGGCAAGCCCTTTTTCATTTTCTTAAACGCAATGTAATGTAATTCACATTAAAAGGCATAATTAATGACTTGTGTGTGATGATTTTAAAAAGCTGCATGGCTTTCTTCTCTTCCCACCCAAAACAAAATTTGCCAAACTCACTTTCGTGAAACAAGTGTCTTAGCACTGCAGTCTCCATTTAATAGAATTCTTAATTGAGTGTTGTATGTTTACATATAAAACAGTTGATTTATTTACAGTATCAAGGTTAGGAAAGCCACCTCCTCTTTCCCCACTTTGTTGACTAAAGGAGAGAAATGTGGTGCTCTGCAGATGCAGAATTCGTTGGAACAGTTCACTTTTTGGTAGTGGTAATGAGGCTACTGACGGGAACATTAACAATATTGATGCTGGTATAAATAGTTACGTTTTACAGGAAGAAATGTTGGGCAATCTGGTTTGAGAAGGATCACACCTTTTGATATTGACTAATATAAATAACCTTAACCTATTACAAAATAAGTTGTAGAGTCTGAACTCTGAATTCTTTGTGGTTGATGTTCACTGAAATTTAGAAACTTAAAATTTATTTAAACCAATATAATTCATGTTTGAATCTTGCCGGATCTTTGTCAAAGTTTTGCGATGGTTTCATGTTTTTTGGGGGCGGGGGACCATTTCCCAAAAATCACAGAAGGTCTGCATAATTGCTTGCCTGGCAAGAAAAGCTTCCGTAAATGGAAGGACCTACCACGTTTGTGATTTGCCAGCTCTTATTCGACAAAATGAACAGCTCAAAAGGTGAAGGAGGAATGTCTGAACATAATCAAGATCTTCTGGAATTGGATTTGAAGATGGTTGCTTGAGAGAGCATTTGCTTATAATTCCTTTTAGAAAATTGAATTCTGGAGCAATAGCCTGGAAATAATTTGAGAGAATACCAACTCAAATACTTTATACCTGGAGAATAATTATAACCCTTTGCTGAAATTTTCTGCAATTCTTTTTGTGTAACCATTTATACCCTGCTCAGTACCTCGACTTCCAAGTCTCCTATCTCTGAATTCAGGCATTAATTAGCTCTGTGTTGAGTGGATATTTTTTGTGAATGATTGGAAAATCATGGTTCTTAGTTCCTTTTGCCCCTTTGCTCATGGATCCAAATTATTTCACGTCTTCCACACAATGGCTTGCAATAGTAAATCATTTCCTGGGGGGAAAATGAGATGTAATAATGCCATACATTGCATGATTGTTTGTGCTATACACTTAGAAGTACACCTGTGTGATTTTTTCCTTTTGCTGTTGAGTTTTCCTACCCCCTAAGCCACCTTTAATTTCAGGTTTGGCTGAATATTTCTTCACCCTCCCCCACCCCACCCATAGTACTTTGTACTATCTTTTCATTCAATTTTTAACACTGTTTTGCATATTGGTTAACATATGCAGTTAAATTTAAGATCTTCCAGTACTGAAACCGTCATTGCATTTCAGAAATTCTAGATACTGATCAGTTAACACTTCCTCACCCTGAGCAAAGTGTTTTTGTGTCATTACTGGGACCAGTGGTTTAGAATTCCACCACCTTCCAGAGCTTGAATGTAGTGGTTCTTCTGTCCTTGCATCAATCATTGAAGCTTTGCTCCACTCTACCAACAATTTTCGGTTTCTTATCTTGCAGATTTGTCAGCTCTTTAGAATGCTTCCAAGCTCATTGAATCACTTGCCGATGCACAAGGCCTGCTCGTTACTCTGTGCATCTCAGTTACTAGTTTTTGTTTTTCCAGATGCTCAACTAGGGGGTTAACCTTGTTCTGCCCAAAGAGATCATCAACTGGAGTCCTAAAGTGGACATACATCTTTCTAAATGGTATCGGCCTAAATGAGTTGATTTTAATCACATAGGTTAGACTTGAGTTTACTTGCAATACACCTGCACAGCTGTGGTATGGAATCTTTAATTGCACCTGAAGAGGCGACAGGATCTTGGTTTTACATCTCATCCGAAAGATGGTACTTCCACCAATGTGGTGCACCCCAAGCACTGCATTGAAGTGTTAGACTAGACTAGGTTCAAACTCCCAATAAGAGGCTTGCACCTATATTTGCTTTTATAAGAAGATTCAATAAATGCAATGTTTCTGGATAAATGCAGTATACAGAACGAACATTTTATGTCATGGGTGAAGCTGTACAAAAGTAAGTATAGGTTGAACTACAGACTGCTGTTTTCTCACATGAAGTCATTTTGCTTTTTCTATGGAAAACATTTATCAATGGAAATGAAAAATGGAAAAAAATTATCCAATTATGGATCAATTCTGCAATCATGAGAGCCAATGCAATCAATCTTCACTTAAAGGAATACCCAAATCTTAATTAAGAATTGTTTGCCAAAAAGTGCAGTTGCCTGGGTCGAAAGCAGCTTTAAATCCATCTAAGTGTCAGATTGTTAATATTTCAGTATTTGTGTTTATGCTGATTAAGGATCGCTGATCGTTAAACCCAATGAGGAGTTCCAACATTTTATGATGCAAGTTCCCTTTTTTGGGAAGGGATTTTAACCTTGGTATCAAGAACTTGCACATGTATTACTTTTGAGCACCTACTACATAACACAATGCAAATTTACATTTATATAATGTTTTTCAATCAGCAGGACGTCTCAAAGGGCTTGGCATCTGAGTTGGGGGTAGGTGGTGAGGGGAAAGATGACTGAAGGTAAGCTCAAAGAGGAAGTCTTGAGACAGACCTTGAAAGGTTCATAATACCTCAGTTAGGCACAGAGTGACATTGGCAAGCGCTTCTTAGCTAGGGAATGATGCGTGAAGAAAAAGGAACAATGTAGAAATGTCCCTTGTGTTGCATAAACCTTTTTATTGCAAAACTGCTAACTTAAAATCCTCTTCTTGCAGAGAAACCTTAAGCTTTTTTTGGTTGGAGGGAAGAGATTAATTAATTGAATTTCTCAATAGGTGTGGAGGTTCATTATGAGATTCACATAGCAAGACAGATGATTCCCTTCAAAATAATAATTTGGTCACTCAATCCATGATTAGAGATTGCAGTACACAATCGGCTGCCGTATTTCACCCACAAAATATGCAGTCAATTCACTTCACAGTATATTCTATGAAGCGTTTTGAGATGTCTTGATAATGAGATAAGGTGCTATATCAAATGGATTATTACAACAGAAACCTACCAATAACCTGCCTTTTGTTATTGGACAACATGCAATAATCCTGTGATGTACATTCGGTTCTTTTGGACTCTTGATTACTGGCAGGATTCCCCTTAGTGAATTTGTTTCTGTTGGTGAATCCTGTTGCTAACAGCCATTTTTGTTATCCAGTCGAAATGGGTTGAGCGATGTTTTTTTTAAAAAAAACATTATAATCTGTGTAGATTGTATCCTCATGCAAACAGAATTTTTTCAAAGTCAGAGTCGCTCCAGTACATAAGTGTTATGCTGCTTGAAATTAATTACTTCATTGGCAGATTGCTAAATTACAGTTTTTGTGTTTGCCAATCAAGGATCACTGCGCTTTAAAGCCTGAGATCCTGTTTTTCCAGTCAACAATAAGAGGTCATTTTAGGGCCTGTTTGAAGGATTTAGCTTTTTTGGCTTAAGAGAAAAAGTACCAAGCCCTCCCAATATGTATTTATGCTACCTCTATAATAATAACAATCCTTGCATTTGATCTAGCATCTTATCACACTGTTGAGACGTCTCCAACCACTTCACAGAATATATTGTAATTGTATTTTATGGGCGAAACGTGGCAGCCAATTATGCACAGCAGGGTCCCACAATCAGTCATGGATTGAGTGATTAAATTATTATTGGTCTCTAATGTACAAAAGATAGGTATGCACTGACTTATCTCTCAAGTGATGTAAAGTAAGTTTATTATAAACTTCACAAATTATTGACTGCAAGTTGCACACCATGAATAACGAAAACTAGATGGCTCAAGAATCAACACTGCCTGATATGGTATTGAAACTTGTGGCCCAGAAAGACCCCATAATTCAATTATATTAAGTTGGAGTTTTCCACATACGTCAGTCTGCAAACTCTTCTAACAGACCTTTGACTTTGGAGTACCATGGTTACTGAAGATGGAGTTGGTTCTCTATAAATTAAAGGTATGGGTGATTTGATATTTAATGTATTTGAAAATAGCCTTTGACACAAATTAGAGAAAAAATATAATTGCTGCACTTGATATAGCACTTTATGTCACTGTTGTCTCAGCACTTCATAAGATTTACTGTAAGTGATATACTGTCAATTTATGGTTGAATGCGGCAGCCAATTTGCACACAGCAATGTCCCACAACAGTCACGGAGGGAGTGACCAATTATATTTGAGGATTTGTTGGCTAGGTCATCTGGAGAAATAACTTTTTTTTTAATAGTGGCATGGGTTCTTTAATGTCCACCTAGACATGCAGATGGGAATTCAATTTAATAGCTCATCCAAAAGATGGCACCTTCAACAATGCAGCACATCCCCAGCACTGCAACAGAGTGCCAGCATACATGATACTAATTCCGAGTCACAATGCGGGGCTTGAACCCACAGCCTTCTGATTCAAGAGGTGAGAGTACTACCAACTGAGCCAGGTTGACACAAAAATCTACAAAGCACAAAAAAACATGTTTAATATACATAACTGTCTGTTTGCTAGTCCTTTCATTACAACACACTTTACATTTATAGACTTCTTTTCTTTTCTGCGGGGAGGATGTTTCACAGTGCTGGATGGGCACCTAAGCTGGGGGTGGGAACTGAGGGGGTGGAAAGGGGAAAACTGACAAGTGTAGTCAATGAAGCACCTTTTGAGATATGCCTTGAAAGAGGAAAGGGAAGGATTGAGTCGGCGGGCCTCTGGGATGGAATTACAGACAGCGAGAGTGGCAAGAACAACAACAAAATTACATTGTATAGCTCCTTTCACGTCAGGAAGATGTCCCAAGGCAGGGCAGAATGCCTGAAAGCCTTCACGCTGCTGATGGGATGGATAGGGTGGAGACATGAAACAGGCGAGTGCTTGGTGAATGAAGGGAGTGGCCTGGTC